TTTAATCAATAGTTTGCTTAGCTGTTGCAGTACAAAGGTAATGTAGTTTAAATTTCAAATTTAACACTCCCCAGTTTTGCATTATCTGTAGTTAACTAATTATAAACTTAAAAGTCAGTAGCCCTTTTTACAAAAAGATCTTAAATTTTTGCTTAAGATTTTAACTTACGAATCTCTTACGACACCGCACTGGTCAAGTTTTTTTTTTTCGGAGAGCTACGTTCTATGGCTATAAAAAATCATTTTCTGCAAGATACTGTCTGGTATATTATGAGTATACTAGCTTTAAAAGTTATGTTTACAATTCCGGATTATTGCAATTTTGTTTCATTGCAATCATATATATTTGACCTACTCGTAATACCTAACAATCAGACACAAATCCGGAATTACGAATTAATCACAATCTAATTCGATCCGGGATGTCATTACAAAAATTATCTCAATTCTTATGTCACCTCTACATGTAGCTCAGGCAGTTTACCCATGAAGCTTGTTAATGATGATGCGAGCAGCTAAAATAGCTTATTTATCTTTTTCGTTGATTGTAGTTTGTTTACTACTACAGATTATTGTTTTTAGCGTGCCGTCCTGGGTGTACTATAATAATGGACAGTACAGTACTTACTTTGGACTGTGGACTCTGTGTTCGGGTATGGTGGGAAGAGAAACGTGTGCCTCAACCATTGGTCACCCCTCTTTTTTTAATCAAGGTATTGATCATAACATTCTATTAGTCATGTTATGTTAAAAACTAAGTAAGTCATGTTTTAATGTATTTTGAAGATTTCTAGTCGTTGAAAAAAGAAAACAGTATGAAGGGCAACAGGTTATGAGCATTTTATTTTTTTTTTACATTGAACTGTAAATTATGTAAAGATGCAATTGAAGTCATACAGGCAATTTATGATTTTAGGTTCTTTTATTCCTTATTCCATTATTCATTTTTTCTTTCACAGAATGGTTTCAGGCAGTACAAGCACTTGAATGTCTTGGTTTAGTGGCGATTGTAGCCGCTATCATCTGCAGTTTTATATCCATATTTTTGTCAAAAGCTGAACGGATTTTGAATTATGCCACTTTCATTTTGATGAATACAGCAGGTATTTATGAAAGAAATGAATTTAAAAATATATGTATATGATCCCTTTTTATAACAATGACAGGTATATCATAGACAAACTAAATATAGCAAACTTTCTCAATATTTTGATGGTACATAAGATTAATGAAAGAATTGCTAAAAAAAAAAAATCAGAAAACCTGTAAATCATAATACAGCTGTAGTTTGGAAGGAACGAAACATTATTAACAGTCGTTCCTTACCTTTCTTATAATCTCCCATGAAATAAAAACAGTGGGAATGAATATTGATTGAAGAAAGAAGCTTGAAATCCTATTTTTAATAATAGTTTTTGTGGATAAGTAAGGAGAAGGAAATATATCACTTGTCAAAGCATTCAATGCGTGGAATTCAAAGGCAATGAAGATCATACCAGCGATACTTTCATCGTTTTTTTTCGTTACAGCTTTGTTCATCTTGATCGGTGCTATAATATTTGGCGCCCGGGTGAATTCGATACCCTCCACCGTGCTGCTAGCTAACTATCTCTTCGTTCCGTATGGTTTCAACATAGTGTGTGGAGCTCTATGTTCTGTTGCAGGTGTATGCATGCTGGCTTACAAACTAGGGCATAGCTCCTAAGTGCCTGTGTTGGACCTCTGTTTGCCGTGTGCCATGGCTTTTCTACTACGTGTTCTGATTTTGGCAAGATTAGTGAACACAGAGTGAAGTTTAGCATAATCTTATAAAAAGGGGCGTATAAAAAAAATTTGTGTTTATTTCTTACCTTGATACTTTATGGTACTTTTGAGTTTTGAACTGCAGTGCAAACTTAAAAGTACGTAGTGAACTTTTGTTTGAATCTTTTTTAAGCACAAAAAAAGGTATTTTAATTTCAGTGGATGAGAAATCTTTATAAACATAATTGTATGAATATAAAGGTTGATTGCTTAGTCAAACAAGCTAAAATTGACCTTTATTTCTAGAGGTATAAATATTTTGCTTCATGGTGCCATGTACATATGCTATGAGACAATAGAGCATTACATTTAAACTCTAATTCTTCAATTTTATTTTTCAGTATGAATATAAGATAATAATTTATGGGATAAATGAACTACAACGCTTCAAGCCTGCATATTTATCATGAAGCGCGTTAGCCGGTGTAAAGCGATGTAGTTCATATCCTCTTGAATTCTTAAAAATTAAAATTCAATCTGTTAATTTATCTTTTGTTTATGTGAATGAAGAGAAATGTGTACATATAATTAATTCTATTCTTCCACGAGGATTATCACCACACTGAGAAATAACTCTATGTAGAAGGGATTATATTTCTGTGCTGGAATATATATGAGCCTTAATCTTCATTGAACGATGTTTCTGCTTGGCTCTTTTCACTTCCAGATATCTTATTAAAAAATAAAATCAAAATACTGTTCACGTCTAGTGATTATATTTTTCAATATTTCCCCCTTTTCAGGTTCAGTGGATCATAAGAACCCTGAAGCGTTATCCTTTTATGTGAGCTTACACAATATTTTTATTTGACGAAAGAATTTTATTTTCTTTTAAATTCAAATTTATGGAAATTTAATTATAAGGTTACCACCCTACTAAGTTGCAGAACTTATTCAAAATATAAGTAGGTATTGGTTTGACAAATAATATTAATTTTAATTCCTTCTATAAAGACTACAAAAGCAAATAGGCCTGGTCAATGTAAAGATAAAGATGTACTTAGGTCATACCAAATAGCTAGTCCGAAAAATCTGACGTGTTCCTGGTTTTGCGATTTTGATATTTTACATGCAGTTTCCTAGCATGTAAAATATCCAAATCGCAAAAAAGCCAGGAAAACTTCAGATTTTTCGGACTAACCAAATAGCATATGGTTTGTCGTGTTGACATGTAAATGCACAATGATTTTGAATCAAAAAGAACGGATATCTTCAAAGATAAAATTAAGAACGACTAAACGTCATTTTGTAAAATTTTATATTTCTTGTCAACACTGAAAGCGATATAAAATATAATGCAAAATTGTTTTATTGATACACAAAGGTACATTATGATGAAACATATATACGATATACAAATGGTACATATATATATTTTATGAATTAGTGTTCAGCTTATGTACAATGCAGTGGAATGAACGTAAAGAATTATGTATAACATGTATCTATCCTACAACAAGATTTAAATAATAGCGATCAGGCACTAACACGTGATCTATGACATGGATCGCTCCATTGGTTGCTGAAATGTCAACTTCCGTCACACGAGAGTAAAGATTAAGGTATACTTTGTCACCTACAATGTAAATAACACACATTTTCTCAAATATTTAATGACAGAATTATAAACCATGCATCCTAATAAATCGAATGTATCGAATGGAAGGAAATCCACCTAAAAAATCATAAATTTTCCCAACTTGAAAATCCTATTTCGGGGTACAATTTTTATAAAATGCTGAAAATTGTCTGTGTTTGGCCGCAGTTCATATGGTTCATATGAGTGAAAAATTCTCGAGAGGGACGTTAGACAACAACATATTTACCCTTCCTCTCCCTCCTCCTAACTTAGTTACTTTTTCCTTATTGCAATTACCTGCCTTATATTTAATTTTTAAAGAAGTAGAAAATACATGAGGATTACTTGAAAAGGAGACTTGTATCGTGTCTCCGTTGGTATCAAGTGATCGTAGCCTCTCCTTATTAAACAATCCAGCTGAAAATACCGTATGTGGAACCACGTGATATAAAAGGACCTCTGAAAAATAAATACATGTACCAATATATTACTTTCTTTTCCCAAGCGAGTTTTAAGTATGATATGCCGCTTATATCAATGTCAAAAATATACCTGTAAGCATAGTAGGATCATTTTCCAATTTTTGTATAGCTGATGCCCCGAGCCTGGCAAAAGCAGCGTTTGTTGGAGCAAAAACTGTCAAGTTATTTCCTATAAAGAAAACAAATTGATGTCTGACTGCCCATGGACATGGAGTAAAAATTTAAAGGTTACTTCTAATATTCCAAATAGGGTGTGTAGAACTCGGTAAATTTAAGAATATTTAAAGCTTAGATTTTAATAAAATGCAGGTTACAAGTTACAAAAATGATTTATACTTCTTTACCTGATTGTTTTTGTTCCCCCTATCTTATTTACCTTTAAGTGCAGCAGCAAGTCCCGTGTCTAAGACTTTGGAGACAAGTGTAGTAAAATTAACGTGGTCGTTCAGGAGATTTACAATGTCACCATCAGGAGGAATCATCACGGCATCAATGATATGTACTACGCCATTGGATGCTAATATGTCAAAGCTTGAAATTCGTACACCATCAACAGTCACCGTCTGTAAAATAACAATAGTACGGGGGATTGTATTTACATGAAAGAACCTTGTTCTTGGTAAGTAAAAAATTATGGGTATTTTTGTCATATACGAGATGTACATGTACATATTTTTAACTGATAGGGGAACAGTATTACAGTATATAACTTGCTAAAAAAAAATAAAACAGCTGTTAAAGTAGTCCATATCAAGAAGTTAATTTCTGTTATCCTTAGTAATCTAACGAAACCAAGTTTTAATTTAATATGCAGGATTATTGAATATGAAATTTTAATGAATATAATTTATGTTAAAAAATATAAGCATACCAAGTTATTGAATGGATAAATGTTAAATCTGATAGATGTGCCGGCAAGACTTGGTATTTGTAACTCATTGGAGGCGGCTGATTTCTTCACGGATCCAGGCACCACGTGGTACTTGAGAACATCCGCCAGCGCCTGCGTATTACTCGAAAGGTAAGCTAATGTCGTTGGTGGAAGTTTCTCAAATGCTCGATTTGTAGGAGCGAAAACTGTGAATGTTCCTGAAAATATATCATAATCCCGACGGTAAAAATGCAAAGTACATGTATGTTGTACCTAACAATTTATCATAATTATATATATTCCTCCGTATGACCATATAAGTGCAGTGCTCAAGTATAAATTTGTAGGCATTATAAGTAATTGATAGCATTGCTACATGAATATATAATGGAAGTTGACGATAGAAAAAATTGATTAATTAATTGTGTTACATGTATGTATTACAGGTTGTCCCTTTCGTGAAATGTTCACTCCTATTGAGACGTCACTATATACCTGTGGACGGTTTCAAAATAATGTATACATGTACCTATACTTGGTCTTTAGGGCATTTAAGTAAGGAGGGTCTTTAGTTAGGTGTTGTACTAAGGTCCCATCCGAAGACCCGTTACTTTTGACCTCTAATGCCGGGTATCTAAGGAATAGTCACTACATGTATCTATGTTAACTTCAGAATTGACGTGGTGAACGGGAGTACTTTGGCCTCTCAACCACGAAGCATAGAGAACACTTCACACTAGGCTTCGCTAAGTTTAAATAACATTGATCTCATTTTTTGTGGTAAAGTTTCCATTAGTATAATTTCCAAGAAGATGTGTAATAGTTAGTGGTCTCTTTTATTTCGATTTCCGAAAGTCACATATACACGTACATGAATATTGAAGCAACTTAGGAATAAAAATGAAAATCATTAATTGATAAAAACGCTGACGTTATGATTTAAATCAAAATGATTTCGCTTTTTTATATGTTTGTTTACCGTCCTTTGAAAAAAAGTTTCACTAATACTGAGACGCTATCATCTGCCAATAGATGGCTTCGAATTAAGACCTGTACTTAGCACATTCAACCAATGTTGTTTTTTTTTTCTTGCCAGAACCTACTGCAACATCGGACTTAAACAAAACATCGACCTAAACGTCCTCCATTGGGATTCGAACCTGCGAGGTACATGTAAGGATAGATTTTCCAGGGGATCTAGAGTGGACGCTCTGATTGCTCATTTCAACAAAATACACTTGTATACACTGTAAAATGGTCTGTTGAAATTCCTTTATTAGATTTCACATATGTTAGACTTTATGGAAATTAAAGCAGCCAAATTTTTTAATATTTCCATTTGTTGATGAATGGGGCGGCTTTTTTTCCTGCACTTTTACTATATAGTTGCAAAATTAATTAACTGAGGTTAATAAAAAAAAAAGACATGCAAAACGTGCATGACCCTTGGTTATCAGACTAACAAGTAAAATGAACTGTTAAAGCCAAACAAAAATTGAAAAATCCGAACTTTCATGTGTATTGCAAAGTTAAGACCGATGGTAAGTAATTTTGCAAACTCCTTACCTCCTAGCAGTGCATCAGCCAGCCCGGCTTGTTGAACCAGTGAAATTAAAGTCGTAAGTTTTTGTTCTTGTAACACTTCTACCAAGTTACCTCCGTAAGTGAAATGAAAGCAGGATAATATAATGAAAATAAATTTATACATGTTGAAGTTTTCATGAACAAGTACCATTCAGTAAACTTTTATCATATTTATACCCACAATATCTTCATTATGAAAGGATATGGAGGGACATCACGTGTCAAATAACGATTTACCTGCTTAAAGTGCTATCTCTTTCAAAAGTCATGATTATGAGAGTACGATACACACCTGTGTATGTGTACTGTACTCTCAAAGAAAGGTGATTCTAGGTAACATATTTGTGAAATATTCGTATTGTCAGTTATTTTGACTTTATTGCACTCGGTCCGATTCCTTAATTAAAAAAAATGATTACAAGTTTTTAAAGGAGATGGGTGATTGACTATAGTACGATAAATATGAATGTGAAAAAAGAAATTTTAAATCATTTTTTTTTTAAACTTCATCTAACAACAAAGTATACTTTATGTAAAAACTCTTTCAAATGCAAAAATTATTTGCCTTTAAAATAGCATACACACACTAAAGAAGGTATAAAAGATCATTTTCTCATACTGTAACGCATTTTTTATCATATGATAGGGTCTTCGCTCAATTTGTTTGAAAGTTAATCCTAACCAGAAGTGTCTGTCGAGACTGTAGCTCTACTGGTTTATACTTAAAACAAAGGAAGAGAAAAGTAAAAGTTGGGACTTGAAACTTTAAAACAGCAATAAATAGAAAAACGATCCTTGTCGCTCAACAAAATAAAAATCGATACACAGAATTGTGTATCTTAAAGTAGTCTACTTGCGTGCCAAGTTATATTGAAATCGGACCAAAACTGTAGGAGGAGTAGCATTTTGAAAGAATTTCACAGAATTTTCTATTTTTAGTAACCATGGCAACACCGCTAATCGTAATCAAAAACCGATGCACAGAATTATGTATCTTAGTGTAGTCTACTTATGTGCCATATTGAAATCGGACCAAAACTGTAGGAGAAATAGCATTTTGAAAGCATTTCACAGAAATTTCTATTTTTAGTAACCATGGCAACACCGTTCATCGAAATCAAAAACCGATGCACAGAATTATGTATCTTAGTGTAGTCTACTTATGTGCCAACTTATATTGAAATCGGACCAAAACTGTAGGAGGAATAGCATTTTGAAAGAATTTCACAGAAATTTCTATTTTTAGTAACCATGGCAACACCGTTCATCAAAATCAGAAACCGATGCACAGAATTATGTATCTTAGTGTAGTCTACTTGTGTGCCAAGTTATACTGAAATCGGACCAAAATTGTAGGAGAAGTAGCATTTTGAAAGCATTTCACATAAATTCCTATTTTTAGTAACCATAGCAACACCGTTCATCGAAATCAGAATCCGATGCACAGAATTATGTATCTTAGTGTAGTCTACTTGTGTGCCAAGTTATATTGAAATCGAACCAAAACTGTAGGAGGAGTAGCATTTTGAAAGAATTTCACAGAAATTTCTATTTTTAGTAACCATGGCAACAACGGTCATCAAAATCAAAAACCGATGCACAGAATTATGTATCTTAGTGTATTCTACTTGTGTGCCAAGTTATATTGAAATCGGACCAAAACTGTAGGAGAAGTAGCAATTTGAAAGCATTTCACAGAAATTTCTATTTTTAGTAACCATGGCAACACCGTTCATTGAAATCAAAATCCGATGCACAGATTCTATGTATCTTAGTGTAGTCTAATTGTGTGCCAAGTTATATTGAAATCGGACCAAAATTGTAAGAGGAGTAGCATTTTGAAAAATTGTTTACAGACAGACAGACGGACGGACGACGGACACATTACTATCGCATAAGCTCTTCTGGTCTCTGACCAGTAGAGCTAAAAATTTGCGTAAAAATATATTATATTTATATGATATATATATCATTTATATATTATAAGGCCTTTTGTGTGATTTAACGAAGCCGATACTTATTCGAGTGCGCATGACTTTTGCGCAGCTTTTTAATTTCATGCAGTCATATGTGCGACGGTACACCTTTCCCAAATATTGTAATTTTAATATAAAATTAACATTATTTGTAATACCTACTGGTCTGAATTTGTGATTTTGCGACAATTATTTGGAAAATACGCTGAAATGGCTCTAACAAAGTCAATGTTTTCCGATTTTGTAAGCAATGCACAACGCTGAAGAATGACACGACTCGACTGGAATCAAACGCCCTCTACTGATGCTGACTATAAAAATTATATACTTTTAGTGTTCTAGAAACAGTTGAACTTTAATTACAAACATTCAGAAAAAATATATAAACGAATTGCAAATCTAAAACTATTTGTCTTAAAATGATTAAAAGTCAATGATTATTTCAGCTTGTGTTATTATTGTTCTTTATTGTAACAAACGAGAGATAGCCTGGTTAATTACGACTAATTATGGCCCAGTTCTGCTCCGTCCCAACCATTTATGATAATTGCCCTTTGGCTATGTAGATCTGGTAAAGCGTAAATTACCCAATTAGCATGAGGTACTTTTACACCTGAGAGTTTGAAATCAACTTGAATCTCCTCGATTTTTTTCCCGATTTTCATTCGAGCGTCGTGAATAATGCGTAAGAAGTATTATACTCAGGGTAACATTTTACCTACTTTTGGTGCGGATATATGATTTTAAATGGACGCAATGCACAGAATGTCTTGAATGATAATGCGTAAGCAGTACTCACGGTAGCATTTTACCTAGTTTATTGACGCCCGATTGGGCGGATATAAAATTTTAATCTGATACAAAAAAATTCTCTAGCGGCCATTCGCGAATAAAAAATGACGCGTATAATAATTGGTTTACAGTATCTTAGTGTAGTCTACTTGTGTGCTAAGTTATATTGAAATCGAACCAAAACTGTAGGAGGAATAGCATTTTGAAAGAATTTCACAGAAATTTCTATTTTTAGTAACCATGGCAACACCGTTCATCAAAATCAGAAACCGATGCACAGAACTATGTATCTTAGTGTAGTCTACTTGTGTGCCAAGTTATACTGAAATCGGACCAAAACTGTAGGAGAAGTAGCATTTTGAAAGCATTTCACAGAATTTTCTATTTTTAGTAACCATGGCAACACCGCTAATCGTAATCAAAAACCGATGCACAGTATTATGTTTCTTAGTGTAGTCTACTTGTGTGCTAAGTTATATTGAAATCGAACCAAAACTGTAGGAGGAGTAACATTTTGAAAGAATTTCACAGAAATTTCTATTTTTAGTAACCATGGCAACACCGCTAATCGTAATCAAAAACCGATGCACAGAATTATGTATCTTAGTGTAGTCTACTTATGTGCCAACTTATATTGAAATCGGACCAAAACTGTAGGAGAAGTAGCATTTTGAAAGCATTTCACAGAAATTTCTATTTTTAGTAACCATGGCAACACCGTGCATTGAAATCAAAATCCGATGCACAGAATTATGTATCTTAGTGTAGTCTACTTGTGTGCTAAGTTATATTGAAATCGAACCAAAACTGTAGGAGGAGTAGCATTTTGAAAGAATTTCACAGAAATTTCTATTTTTAGTAACCATGGCAACAACGGTCATCAAAATCAAAAACCGATGCACAGAATTACGTATCTTAGTGTAGTCTACTTGTGTGCCAAGTTATATTGAAATCAGACCAAAACTGTAGGAGGAGTAGCATTTTGAAAGCATTTCACAGAAATTTCTATTTTTAGTAACCATGGCAACACCGTTCATCGAAATCAAAATCCGATGCACAGAATTATGTATCTTAGTGTAGTCTACTTGTGTGCTAAGTTATATTGAAATCGAACCAAAACTGTAGGAGGAGTAGCATTTTGAAAGAATTTCACAGAAATTTCTATTTTTAGTAACCATGGCAACAACGGTCATCAAAATCAAAAACCGATGCACAGAATTATGTATCTTAGTGTAGTCTACTTGTGTGCCAAGTTATATTGAAATCGGACCAAAACTGTAGGAGAAGTAGCAATTTGAAAGCATTTCACAGAAATTTCTATTTTTAGTTACCATGGCAACACCGTTCATTGAAATCAAAATCCGATGCACAGAATTATGTATCTTAGTGTAGTCTAATTGTGTGCCAAGTTATATTGAAATCGGACCAAAATTGTAGGAGGAGTAGCATTTTGAAAAATTGTTTTCAGACAGACAGAGAGACGGACGGACGACGGACACATTACTATCGCATAAGCTCTTCTGGTCTCTGACCAGTAGAGCTAAAAATTTGCGTAAAAATATATTATATTTATATGATATATATATCATTTATATATTATAAGGCCTTTTGTGTGATTTAACGAAGCCGATACTTATTCGAGTGCGCATGACTTTTGCGCAGCCTTTTAATTTCATGCAGTCATATGTGCGACGGTACACCTTTCCCAAATATTGTAATTTTAATATAAAATTAACATTATTTGTAATACCTACTGGTCTGAATTTGTGATTTTGCGACAATTATTTGGAAAATACGCTGAAATGGCTCTAACAAAGTCAATGTTTTCCGATTTTGTAAGCAATGCACAACGCTGAAGAATGACACGACTCGACTGGAATCAAACGCCCTCTACTGATGCTGACTATAAAAATTATATATGCGAGGCCGTTCAAAAATTACGCGGACTTGCTGCACAGAAAAAATATTTGGCGACATAATCGGGCAAAATGTCGCACACAATATAAAAGAATCTTTCTTTACATGGTCTACCAAATTTCATATCAAAATGTTGTAAATTGGTTTCAATTTTGAGTGATTTTTCAGGACATATCATGAAGTCACGTAGCAGCAACATCTTCGACGTCACAGACATCATAAAAAAAATATGTGATTGAGCTTTTATTTTCTCAACATTTTCCTAAGAGTACCTGTACAGTTTGAGTTATCCTATCTACTCAACATCCAAACACCATTTCTTGTCAAGCTTTAAATCTATTAAACAAGTAAAGAATATTCTTTTTTTGTTTTAAAACCAAAAACTGTAGGTATTTATGAGATATAGTATGATATTGATGACTCTCAATCACGTTCTTTA